TGGAGGCGAGCATGGGAGAAGTTGACCAAGGAGCTAGAGAGCAAGAGGTCTTTGGAAGAGCAGAGGGGATGGTTATGGTGATACTTTGAGACAAGGTTTGAGCCGGGTCCAGAGTTGTGGATGGCTTTGTAAGTGGTTGTTAATATTTAGAATTTTATTTTATTCTTTGGGCTAGATCTCCCTTTACTACTGGAACTCTGGCATATGTGACTAGAACATGTGACCATGCATATCTTATCAGGGGAGGAAAATTTCTTTCCCTGATATCTTATGAGATTACAGATGAGATTTCCCAGCAATGCACTGCTGATGTAACCTTACCAGGATGCAATGCTTGGGCAAAATTACATAATTTGTGCCAAAGTGGACCAGGAAGTGGAAAAAACTGTAAGAAAAACAAAAATATGTTTGTTTAGCTAATGAATGTGCATTCCATTTTTTATGATTTCATTTTAGCATGCAGAGCTGCATGCTGATGTGATTTTTAGTCAAAGGGGGTAACGGTCCACTTTAGGTGGCCATTTTAGAACCTGTAAATGATTGCAAGTCATTTTGATATAATAGGAGACTTGCCAACTTTAAAATATGTCAGCACTGATACTCGTATGAGCACCTCAGGTTACTCTTAGGAGGCTGACCTTGCTGTCTTTAGTAAGGTAGGCTGGCACAGCACAGCACCCTTATAAAAGATGTAAGTGACCAACCACATGTAGATGCCATTCTTTACAGAGCTGGGGAGCAGAACTGTCCCACTAGCTCCAACAGACCGTGCTCCAAATAAGAACACAAATAAAAGCCACTGGATGCTATATAAGGGCTCATGCATATGGGCATATTAAATTACTCCTATCAATGCTGGATCTTTCTGCCAGTGTAAAAAAATTATGACTTGCTGTGTAATTATGAATAACAAATTCATGAATTTAGGTGCATACATATGCTTTTACATGCATTTATGTGCCTGTAATCATTATGTCATATGGATCTAAAGGTCACAATGTGCTTGGCCACATTCACTAAAATAAAGCTGTGTTCACAGCCACAAAAAGCCTCTAAGAGCATTTCCGCCGTGTGCATGAGACCTAAGTTTACCGAAGGGTAGTGTAAAGTATATCCAATGCTATCATTTTTTGTTTTGTTTTGGATAGCTTGGAGAATGGTTAAAAGCCCACTCTTTGTATTTTCTGTGTGCTTCCAATTTGGGAGATTTCCCATCACTTCCACTTCCTGTCCTGTAGACAAAACAAGAAGGGAATGATAAAAGACCCCTCTTAGACAGCTAAGCTCTATTTGTGTTCTGCCAACAACTAAAAATTTTGGATTTCAGTCACTTTCTGACCTAAGTCAAAAATTAGCCAGCACTCCAGTATGCAAAGTAGCAAAGTAGCAGAAAGGTTTACTGAATTCCCACAGAAACCAACATTTTGGAGGCACACAGGCCTCCTTTATCACGGTGATGGAGCACAAAAGCCATGCAGAGAAGCAAAGTAGCAGAATGTTTTACTGAATTACCACATAAACCAACATTTCAGAGGCACATAGGCATACATAACAGCAATAACATAACAACAACAATTTAGTAGAAATGAGCTCCAAACACATCTGGACGCATTTATTTTGACACCTATGTGCATGAAGCCTGCAGATTTATTTATTTTTTCCTTAAAAAAAAGCTTTGGAGTTTTTCATTTGGTGCTCCGTCCAGCTATTGAAATAATTAATTTGGAGTACTGACCTACAGACTGTGCACCCCCTATGTTTCTATACATTATATCTATTAAAAGATCCACATTACTTATTTGGCCTGCAAATTTGTGAAGAGATAGCTGAAATACATGTGCAATGTGGCTGCATGTAAAGTTAGTGAACAGGTTTTCTTTTGCTCTTCATGTCTGTGTACTACTTGTGCTACAGTGCAAACATATTGGTTTGGCAAACATATTTTTAAAGGTAAAACTTCCAACTTGATTTTGGAAACACACATCATCTAGATGCAGTTTTCGATTACCTTTGTGCACGAATTGTGTTTACCTTACTCTTAACCATATCTAACACATTTCAGACCTTGGATATTTAGGTCACACAAACAAAAACATCATGCATAGGTGACCCAACCTCTTCAAACCTACTCTTTGTCTACTCCTTAATGTTTGTGTCCATGCTGACTGGACTGCCTAACCTGTCCCTCTTTATACTGAATAAGCCCTCTCTACTGTGGTAATCCTCCAATGTATCTACTTCCATACACCTCCATACACCTCTAAACTGCTTAAACACCAATACTGAAACAAAAACTGGAGCAGATGTGCATGGCAACCAATCAGCTTCTCTCATTCATTTTCAAATCTTAACTGAACAAACTGGTTGTAATGCACATCTGCTCCAGTTTTTGTCTGCTCCAGTTTTGATAAATTCCCCTCTTTGTGTATAACATACCACCCTTATATCGTTAAAAGGGAGAAACCATAGAGTAGCAAAGTACTATCATCCCCAAAAGAAGTTTGTTCATATAAGTTGTATTGTTCATAATGACTGGGAGAGGTTTGCTTTGACTTTGAATAATGCCACATTTATTCTACAATGTTTTATGACTGACAGAAAATAGTAATCTCTGCTATCTCTTGAAGAAGCAGAACTTCCCTGTTAAACATGTTGAGAAATAACATTCCCCACCAACCATCGACTGAATACAGAAATGATTCCATCTTTTGGTGGGCTTCTATTAACATAACAATTTGAATATTGTCGGTCAATAAAAAGGTTTGGGTATTATTAAAAACGAATAGGAATGCAACACTAGTCTTTTACTCTTTAATTTATTAAAACAAAATCACTTTTTTACAGATATATACATGGGTAGTATGACTTTTATGATAAAGCAGAACGTAGCAGTTAATAATGCAATGTATATGAAATAAAATACCAACTCTGCTGATCACATCTAAAACACACTGTGACCCTGTGCACAGTCAGCAGAAACCTTAGTCATAACCTCTTTAAATTAGGACAGTTCTTGAAAATGATGTAATTTACACACACTGTCCCTTTAAATGAGGATGAAACCCCCTTCAGTGCGGTCATATGTAAATGCCATCTGTTTTAACAAGGTAATGCTTTACTAAAAGCACAATGATTAGATTTACGAAAGAAACATGACTTGTGATAAAACTCCTTCTGAATATTTAAAAAAATATACATCCTAAGCTGTACGCTGTATGACAGTACTCAAGCAGCAAGCAATAATTCTACATAGAACAATAGCTGTGAACAACAGCATTAGAACATATTGCTTTGGTAAATATTATTTTCATATTTGAATGCACCTGATCTTTGAAATATAGATCATAAATACTGATTTAGTTTGCTGTAATATTTAATATATTACCAATTTAATTCAAATTTCCATAAAAGTCAACCTTGTGTAACTTTAATGTATTACATGAGACATTTTAATATATAAAATATATATTGCCAGGCACAATAAAACATGCATGAAAAACAGTGAATTACATTTTCATTATGACCTTTGGTTAAATGAATGTGTTCATTGTTGACTGATTGCTTTAATTTTTTTATCATGCTTTTCAACTAAGAATACAGTTCTTAAGCTTGGGTGGCATCAGACTATTAGTATATTTAAGACCTATTAATAAAAATGTAAATGTATTGTCCTGATATATGTATTTTATATTATTAACCCTATTGTTAATATGTTGCAAACATTGAGTAAATCATTGACTAAAGGCTTATCACAGAGAATCAATGTTTACTTTAAACATCAAGCCAGATACTGGGAAAATTGATAAATATCCCCCTACTATAACAAACTAATTTTAATAAAAATGGGCTAGATAAAACTGGTGCAGATTTAGCATATCATCTTTTTCTTTTATTTCTTACTGTGTAGAAATGAGTGAATCGATCAGTTTTAATTATGGATCACTGCAATTCCTTAAATATGGATTTGCATGGAGCTTACATCAGGGATTAAATAGGATTTGCCATATCCAAATCCAGATTCAAATAGTCAGTTGTGATTAGAAAACTAAACCATTCTTGAATATTTTATTGTTCTCTCCTTCAGTGCCGAGATAAGAGCAGCATCAAAATTCAGAAGATATTTACAGCTGTAAGATATGTGGGCAAACAATTTTCTTATACTGCTAAATATTTTAAAAAAAACCTCTATTACAAAAGGGATAGGTAAATTAACTTCAAGTGTAACCAACTTAATACTATCTGGATTTCAAATCTTCTCCCAGAACAAACATTCAAGTATGGAAAACCATATATATTTAAAGTGAAGGTATAGCCAAAACTTTGTTCTTTTCAGTTTTGGATACAAACCACCTGTCAGTTTATTTTTTGCTGAATTGAATTTTTTGCATGAAGTGAATACATGTTAACAGGGTTATTCACAAAAGTGAGAAGAGTTTGGAGAAGGTAGGAGAAGTGAACAATATGGGCCAAAATAGCTGATTTGGAAAAATTCTCCAATTCAGCTCACTTTCCAGTTCAGCTATGTTGTCCTAGATTGTTCACTTCTCCTGCCTTCTCCAAACTCTTCACCCTTTTGTGAATAACCCTATAAGTGTTCTAAAAGTGGCCATAGTCATTAGATGATTTTCACCTAAATTGTAAAATTTCAATTAAATCAAGTTAATCAGATGTTTCCACTACCAGGGCTGTCTGCTGTGGAAGATTACAGCATGAATATTTATATATGCTTAATTTGGGTAGAGATTTTTAGTGGTCAGGTAATATGTATATACAAGGCAACCGGTAATGTCTATGATCAAACAAAGATATTTAGATCTGATTTTATTTTTTTCTGAGGAAAGTCTAGTTCTCATTACTTTTCTAGCTTACTTTGAATTGTCATACATTTTTACTATTGCATAGTATAAAGTCTTTGATTGTGACGTTTACAGAAATATGTATTTGCACTAAAAGGTTTCTAAAAGTATTTTGTTCTGCAAGTAAAACAGATTGGAACTTACCTCGATCGCTGTCATAAAGATATGCAAATTTATCCCATTGATAGTATTCTATCAAACTAAGAAGTGCTCCTTTGAGGTCCGGCCTCATTTGAATAACAAATGGATGAGTACCATCTGTTGGAAAGCTTGGGGTTATGAAGGAGACATGAAGAGTTCCGCAAAATGATGTGATAGTATTTACAGACTTCTTATCATAAAATCCAAAAATAGCAAAGACTCCTCTTGAAAACTGGGAGCAGACTGCAAAAGAGAAAAAAACAGTAGTCAGAATATGCCTACATATCAAGTATCAAATGAAAGGTGGAAATCAAGGCAAAAACAAAATTCACAGCTGACATATGTTTTCAGTTTAATTTGTCAAAGGTTTTGTCATTTTTCCGTCAGTGCTTTTGCAATTATACACTTCTGCCTCATTGCACTGCCAAGAAGATCACCTATATGGATGGGTTTGATAATATTAATGATTACCACTTAGCAGGCTGGAGGTGAAGTGACATGGGAAGCAGTATTGTAAATCAGTGGCCACCGAGAATTACAAACTTTTTAGCAGTTAAAACAGTAAGCATTTATGTATTTAGCTGTTGTCTAGAAGTTAACGTTAAAGCAATATTATGTTGACAGCTGATATTGGTTCATGTACATGGAAAATTACCTGGGTTGCACCCACAGGGAACATCTGATGACCTCTGAAGCCCTCTGGCCTGGCAGTGTGTTGGCTTCCTCTGCAAAATGTGCAGGTCTAGGAGTGTGTCAGAAGAAAAGGCACACAGCTGTCATTCATTATTACATCTATATCTGTAGCTGTACTTATTAAGTACAGATGGCTTAGTGTCATCTCTCAAAACAGCAGAGCCCAGTCTAGTCCCTCCAATGAATTAGTCAGGCCTCAGTGGTGGCCTCCAATATTTCAGAAATAGTCTATTCTCTCATTTCCATTACGTTTGAGGACAGGGGGCTCAGAAGGTCAGTCAACTATGGTAAACGTCCAATTCATTTTTCTTGAGGACTTGATACAAAACTAAAAAACTATTAAACTATAAAGAAAGAGAGTCAAACCTGAAATGCTATTGTAATTTCTAATGGCAATTCACATCTTATCAAGTTAATAAACCAGTGTGCAAGGCAATGATGATATGTATGGGGCAGTAATCAAAAGGATCCGATCAGCCATATTTACAGTGACTGAGCTTTACTTAACAAGCTGTAGACAAATCGGTGTGCTATGTACAATATGCACAAAAACTTTATTGAAGGACAAAGGGAGTATGCAGCACATTCCCCCAAGCTATCACTACCCCCACACACAGTTCCCAAGTTGCTGTGTTTTAAATAGGCAATAAGGCTCCATACACACATAGCGGTAGCATTTTGCACACATTTTTCTGCATGGAAAACTGCAAGTAATGAAACCGCGTAAACGTTAACATATCCATGGATTTCGCATGTTTGCAGCTATTACTATAGTTGGAACATGCGGAATACGCCCATAAAATCGCACTTGGACTATTTTGCGGGTCACGCGGTTTCGTACTGCGCGGCCGCCGCAATAGTCTGAACATTGCAAATTTTTTATGTTTAGCGCGGAAAACGACCTACGTGTAAATGGAGCATTGCAGCTGCCGCTGTAAACAACAGACATTCTGAACAGTGTTTTTTAAACTCTCATCTTAAGCATGAAAGAGAAATACATAGTAACAATATTATTTATTTTTCTAGTTACTCTGTTTCATTAATTTGCACATTAAGGGGTGACATTTGAGATGCATGTGATGTCCGTTGAAGGAAACTCACAACATTTTTAATTTTTTTTCAATAAATGTATTCCTATTTAACCCCTTATTAATCATTAGTTTACCCTGATCAGCCATAATAAACTCCTTTCCCCCCTTTTGTATTATTTTGCTGCAGATTTTTTGTTTGTATTTCCTTAAGCATTAAAATGTACATATTATTTATTTTTATTCAATGTGTTATATTGTTTTGCATTCACAAAATTGGAAAATAAGACATTATTATTATTTATTTTTATTCAATGTGTTATATTGTTTTGCATTCACAAAATTGGAAAATTATTTGGAAAGACATTATTTAATTTGTTAATACTTTGCAGTGCTTTGTACCAGAATCAAAATGTCAGCGTAATTATTAACAGGGCAAATTATAAAATAAAAAATTAATATTTTATCCATAGTAACACATTTTTGTTTTAATTAACACCGATCAAAGTAAAAAAAAAAATGTCTTTAGTTTTGTTCCTTTTTTTGTATGGTCATCCCTGCAGAAGCCACATGTTGGAGGGTGGATACATGCTGACATCAGCAACAGGAAGTTAAGGAGCTCTGGACAATGATCTGTAAGTTAGTTAGTTTCAAGATACTGTGGGGCAGCTTATCTAACCAGTGGGCAGCTGTTTGGATACGAAGAGGAGGAGAATATTATGTGGAAGATAAAACAATTGCTTTTGTAAGTGTATTTAATCTTGGCTTTTAATAATCATTTTTTTAAATATGTAATTATACTATGGATTCTTTAAAAAAAATTTGAGTATGTGCTGAAGGAGAAGGAGGAGAGGTGAAGTTATTGTACACCAGTTATTTGGATTCAGTGGATCGGATGGGAAGAAAGAACTAACATCTTACTGTGCATTTCATGACCATTTTAATGTGATGGTCCCCCTATCTGGTGACTGCGGTGCATGGAGGTGGTATCGCACGTAGATGGGGGAAGGTGCCACCCACGGTACAACATATATACTCGAGCTGGAAAATGTATTATATTGTTGAATGTGTCACTGAATGCGTCCAAGGACATTTGTTTGTGATTCTGGACTAACTTTTTCTTTTTATCTATTTACTTATATGTGTTTATAGCGCTGGGCATTCTGAAATAGTATACAGTACGTAGAGGGTTTTTTATACCTGTGGCACAACAGCTTAGGGGTCTATTCACGAAGCTGCCGAAGAATCTAGCCGTAGCTTCGGCTGATCCTTCGGCTAGTTTCGGCCCCAGGATTCACTATAGCCCGTACAGCTCCCGAAGTCGGCCGAGCGACTCAGTCAAGCCGAAGGCATATGCTTCCGCTCGACTGAGCCAAGGTGAAAGCCGAAGCTGGCTGACAGCCTGCTACTGACTGCTGGGCGGAGCCAGCCGTCATTTCACGGCTGGCTCCGGCCACTTGCACAGACAGATCAGCGTCCCTGGTTACCAGGGACACTGATCTCCAGACAGCCCACCTCTCCCGGACTCTCCGGGAGTTTCCCCGCTATTGGATAGCGGCTCCCGACCGCCCAGGAGAGAAACAATTTCTCCCAGAAAGGTTTACTCTGCTAGATTGAGCAGAGTAAACCTTTCCCTACTCTGTTTTTTTTTTTCTTCTGACATCAAAAACCGTTGGCTGCCGTCAGTATAAAAAAAAATCACCATAGGAATGCAATAGCTAGTTTGCTATTGGCTTTTGCACCTGCCCACTGCTGCTGTCAATCAGCAGAGGGGACCTGAAGTTCTCCATCAGGTACCCTCTAGTGATTGACAGCAGCAGAGGGTGGATGCAATAACTTGTTTGCTGTTGGCTATTGCAAAGTGAAATAGCCAATAGGAATCTAGCTTTGCATTTCTATGGTGATCTTTTTTTTTTTTTTACGGCAGCAGAACCGCCCAGCCATAGAAAACAGTTGGACAGAGCTAGCTGCCACTGCTAGCTACGCCCAATCGTTTTCTATTTTATTTTTTAGTACTTGTTTTTCAGCGGCATTCGGCTTTTCATCTATGAGAATAGGCCAAACAGCAGCGAGTAGCCTGCCCGAGGTTCGGCTTAGCCGATCCAGATGTTGGATCGGCTGAGTCGAACTCCTTCTGCTGAGCATGTTCGGCTGACCCGATAGAAGGAGAGAGCTGAATGCCAGAGATAATAGCTAATTAGTCTGTTGCTTCTCTTTTCACTGTCCAGTGACAGCCTGGAGTATGAACAAGATTTGTAAGCATTACTTAATTGCAGAAGATAAATCAGGTCTCCTGCCATGCCAGACGGGGCTGAACTAGATGGCAGAGTTATGCAAATCTTATAATTAGATGGACAAAATACAATTCCAGGGGCAGGTATAACATCTCCTATATACATGTATGTATTTTACCAAGGTAGTTATCTGTTTGCCTAGAGTTCAGCTTTAATTATGAAACTAAATGTTGTTGCCATTAGAGTATCCTCTAATTTTTGTAACCATCCAGCGCTGATTAAACAGCTGTGAGGTGGTAAAGTCTAAAGATAAATACATTCAGACTGTACATCACTAATCACCTCTCCTCATCAAAGCTCTTGGATATTACATTATATTAAGAGATTAGAGGCCAAGATTAAAGCATGAATAAGTGACTTTCTACAATACAAAAAAGCATTAAACACCCTTGTACAGTCTAGTAACTTGAACATGAACAGTGATTTTGAAATGTGTTATCTACAGGATTAATTGTATAATAACTAATGAGTAAAACTACTGCATTGAATACATTGAAGTCAATAACATATATTATTTCGGCAAGGTGCCTGCACTTTCTTCCATTTTCTTCTTTAGGTTGTATGAAATCTTGAAACTTTTGGTGCTGTAATAGGCAAATAGCCACCAGATCCCATTGTCAAGAGCTCTAGCCTATGCCCGCCTCCTCCCATGCCTCTGTATTGGTCTATAAATGTGATGAATTACCACATGCATCAAAAGTGTAGTGTACGGTAGGGAGGGGGCTCCAGGGCTGGCAGAGGGGACATAAAAAACTATATCATTTACAGCGTTAAAATAAAATTAGAACTCAAATACACAATTTATTTAGTTAAAACATGGCTGCAAAGGTCATGGTGCTTTATTGACCCAAGTTAAATTTAAGCTATAAATAATATTTTACTTAATAATTAAATTGCTCAACCATGGCCTAGCTAGACAGCTCAGGTCAGTACAACTGAAATAGCCATCATGCTGGATGCTAATTTTTCCACCTCCAAAGTGGGCTCTGTAGCAGACTGAAGTGCCCCCCAAACACTGCAACCTCCTCAATGGCAATCTACATACCCAATTAAAGATGTCCAAGCCAACATCTGATAAATGGATAATATTCTGTCTATACAGACCACTAAGAATACTCTCAAAGTCAATGTGACAATAGGAAAAACAATTCCACTTAAATACAATTTTCTGAAAAGATCTATTCAATCTGTTTGTGATCTTTTCCAAATATCTCAATTTACCAGGCAT